TTTTTTTTTTTTTTTTTTTTACAAAATTTCTTAAACTTTTAACATAATTCATTTTGTTAAGGATAATTCAGTTTGTTAAGGCTCCGTTTAGCGAGAATTCATGTTTGGTAAGGGCTCGAGCCCAATTCGTTTTACAATGCAAGTATGCAACTATAGCACCAAAAAAATAAAATAAAAGTAGAATAAAAATAAAATTAAAATTAAAATATACTTGTAATTTGCAATAGGAAAATTAATCCACCTTGTACAATGTGTTAAAAAGTTTGTTCCACTTACATAGAACTATAGAAGTACTTGTGAGTTGTGAAATCCTAGGCGTTGAAAAAATTTTCTAAGTATTAACAAATATTGGACCACACGACTTTTGTAACCAAGTCTATAATTTTGGACTATTGAAATAGTTTGCAAATGGTTAATTATGAGCATGCTTTACCAGTTTAATACATAAAAATTATAAGAAAAAAGATTGACTTGTTCTATTTTTGCATGAGATTATAAACGCAACATTAATTTTGTAATCAACAATAAGTCAATAATACTAAAAGGTCAGCTGTATTAATCAACATGATACATGACTTTTTCTTGCAAGCGATATATGGTCGAATGAATAATACAGCCACAAGTTATATAAGTGGTTCAAAATCTTTGGATCTAACTTCTTTTCATCACTAACTGCGTCATTATGTCCTAATCCACTAAATTAAATAAATGTAGTAACATTTTTATTTTCTAGTAACTAGTTAAATGGCAACTAGGTTTGAGATATATGTAGACCCTTCGAGCAATTTTAAGGAAACATCTAACCATATCGGTGTGAGTCTGAGCCGTTAGATTATGTGCACGAACACACACTCATGCGGATCTAATCTAACGGCCCAGACTTCAGTGTGGATGTTGGCATATTTTGTGATCATTTAATTAAGAATATCTTTTTTCAAGAATAAAACCAATAAAACTAAAGTTTGTACTTGTTAGAAGTGTTAGGACAACAACTCAAAATTCTTTTCTCCATCAAGCCCAACATACAAAGCTCAAATGAAGTTTCATTCTAAAACCAATTGGCAATAAAAGAAGTAGTTCACCAAACTTATATATTGGACTTGAAACTTTTAAGTCTTATTAAGTTTGCACACCCAACAAACCCCCCACAACCACAAGACCACATACTTGGTCTCCCCTTGAATAGAATCCATAAGATCCGACCATCTTGTACCACCGTTATCACCCACGGAACACGCTGCCTGACCACCCTTTCGCCAGGAACGCCAGCACGCGCCAACACGCACGCCCGTGCCCAGGGACTGGCCAGTTCAGCCAGTGCCCGCGGCCAGCCCTGGCCGAGTCAGCGGCCGACCGCCTGGCTCAGCAAACCGGCGGTCCGGACAAGACCGGTTCAGTCCGGTTCAGACCGGTTGGACCGGTTCAGCCCATATTTTGATGATTTAGTCCCGGTTTATGTTTTAAATCCCATTTTCAGTTAAAATTTCGGGTCCAGTTCAGTTCAGTAAATTAATATCAGTTCAGTATTTTCAGTCTAGTCAGTTAGTAGACATCAGCATATTGTTTTAGCTCGGTGGAAACAAAACACTTTTCCTTAGGATCCTCGCAAATAGAAATAGAGAACGAAATAACTAGAAAGATTGTGAGGTGTAGCGTTAGGTGACCCGGAAGCCACGCGCGGCGGTCAGTGGGCGCAGGTGTGGATAGTTCAGTTCAGTATTTCAGTTGAATTTTCAGTTCAATCAGTTCAGTCATGATCAATCATGATCAGTCATGATCGTCATGTGCAGTCAGTTCAGTTTAGCAGTACCAGTTCAGTCCAGTTTTTCCTATCAGTTAAGTTAGACCCTGAGATGGTTCCAGTTAACTATTCAGATCGAGTCGAGCATCTTAACAACAATTTTAATCAGTCTGAGCATAGTACTTAGTATTTGTTTATATATGTCAGTTTTGCAGGCAATCAGCACTTACATTTTCAGATCAGCAGTTCAGGTGGGGACTCAGACTGAGTATTACATTGATTATAATTATGCTACCATGTTTGAGGTATGTATTATCAGTATCCGCTCGGAATGGTCGCCGGTCCATTATGGGTTCTAGTGGCCTTAATCTGCCCACTAGAGTGTGCACATGGTGGCACACGGATCCACCAGCCGCCCACGGGCTCCATGGGGAAACATGGAGCGTCATGCCTCCTGACCACCCTTTCGCCAGGAAGACTTTTGACACAAGACACACGGATCTACCAGCTGTCCACCAGCTCCATGGAGAAACATGGAGCGTCACGCCGCCTGACCACCCTTTCGCCAGGAAGACTTTTGACACAAGACACACGGATCTACCAGCTGTCCACCAGCTCCATGGATAAACATGGAACATCCACATACTTGGCCTCTCTTTGAACGAAATTCATACGATCTGACCATCTGACGTTATCACCTACGGAACACGTCACTTGACCACCCATTCGCCAGGAAGACTTTCGACATGGAGCGTCATCCACATCGCAACTGGGCTACCAACCGTGGCTCTGATACCAATTGTTAGGAGTTAGGACTAACAACTCAAAACTCAATTCTCCATCAAGCCCAACATATAAGCTCAAATGAGGTTTCTTTCTAAAATCAATTGCCAATAAAAGAAGTAGCCCACCAAACTTATATAGTATTCAACTTGGAACCTTTACTTTTTTCGATGTGGGATTGAGGGTTTTCACACCCAACAAGAAGATATACAATTATGAATATTAAGTTCCTTAAAGGACTATAATTAATTAAGTGACATATATATTTGAATAGGATTAAAAGTTTGTGTTTTCCACTTGCAACTTCTATCATAAAATGAATCTTTAGTTAATAGTTCTTTATTCTGATTATCAGAATTTGAAATGGTAAAACCTGCCATAATCACATGTGGTTTAGGTTTTCTAAATATCGATGCTGTATTTAATTAGTATTGTAATCTCTTTGAACTGTACAATAACTATAATTATATTAATATTATTAATACTAATAATAAAGAAATTCCTTCAATTTAACCAAAGCAGTCACGTCACATGTACATATCCACAAGTTACCAGTCTCTGACTTATATTTTATTCTGCTAGTTTTATTAATCGAGACAAATTATTTTACCATTAATTAAATACTAATTAAATACTAATTGCGTACTTCTTAACGCAGAATTTTATTAGAACAGTACTGATTAAGAACACAATAAACCAAAAGCTGGTAAGAGGAAAATCCAACTTAAGACAGTCACCAATCTTCTTCCTTAAACCAAACTCAAAAAAAAAAAAAAAAAAAAAAAAAAAAAAAATACAAAATTCGATGACAATATATAACCAGTCTTAATTAATGAATTAATTTCTCATGAACATCAGTACATAAAGATATCCTATTCACAATTGATGACATTCTTTTTATATAACTATGGCTGCTGTGTAGTTGATTATTGAATCAACACATTTCATCACAACGACGACGAAACCAAATCCCTCGGCAGGCACGGCAAATCCCTCCACGCCTTCGAATGCATCCTCAAAATCTCCCGGGCCCTCTCCTTCGTCTTGAGCCCGCAATCGACCCGCACGACGAGGCACAACTTCGACACCACCCCGACTTGAACCATCTCGTGCAGAACCCCTGGGCCCGCGCAAAATCTGCTGACCGAGCTTACGATCCTCACGGCTCTCTCGCTCGCGTGCCCCGAAACCCTAAGTATCTTCTTCGACACCACCGCAAGGCCGGCGCCGTGGCCCAAAAGCCCGGCCCGACCCTCCGCGCACTGGCATAGAAGGTCGAGGACCGTCAGCATCATCTCGCATACTCTCTTGTCGAAGGAGTCGAGCAAGAGCTCGACGAGCACTGGCACGAGCCCGGACTCGACGGCTTTTATACGGTTACGACCCCACGGACACGCGACTATTAGGGTTTTTAGGGTTTCTTTGGTGGCCTTTTGAGACACTTGATCGTCGAGAGTGTGGCGTAGCTCGATAAAGAGGTCGGGACGTAGGTTTGTCAACAATGACGAGTCGTCGGCCGCTTCGAGGACCGATCTGAGTAGCGCGATCGCGTAGGCCCGGGATTCGTAGCTCCCGAGCCGCATGACGAGGGTTAACGACATGACGAGTTCTGGCCGTGCGAGGGCTTTTAGGCCCGGGTTAGATAGCTCGAGCCCGCTGAGGATGGCGAGTGCCTCGTCGCATGTTTTTCTCGAATCCGAAAGATCGTCGGATGTTTCGGCGCCCGACGATGCTCGCGGGGCGTTTTCGATTATTAGGGAGGCGAGGAACTCATGGGCCCCAGCCGACTCCATGCACCTCTTGTTAGTTTGGTTTTGCGAGGCGATGGACCGGAGGTTTTGAAGGCACTTGATTCGGGTTTGCGGGCCAGCGGTTCTCCTTCGGGCTTGGTCGATGATTTTCGAGAGCTCGGCCTTGCCGAAGGGGGCTTTGGGGGTTGGGATGCGTTGGAACCCGTCGGGGGCGTGGAGAGTGCACCAAGATTGGATGAGACGACGGAGGGTGATGTTGGGGATTAGGGGGTCGTGGGCCGGGTCGATGGGCTGCTTGGTGACGGGGCATGTCGGGTCGGGTCGGGTGAAGATCCATCGCTCGATGGCGTCCCGGTCGTAGGTTATGCCGGTGGGGACCGTGACTGGGTCCTTCATGATCTCGAGGCTTATAGGGCATATGAAGTACGGCGGGATCTCGATTTCAGACATTTTTTCGTATTCACTCCTTTTTTTCCCGGTAACTTTGGAGTTAGTTCTTCTTTTTGCAGCTAGTGAAAGGAAGAAAAGAATGAGCCTTTTTTCTTGATGTGTGATTTTGAAGGTGTGACTTTGGGAGGGTTTGGTACTTTGGTTATATATATGTGGAGATGAGAGAGATTCCAAGATTGGGGAAAAAGTCAAAATTTGGAAATATTCAAGATTATATGTGCAATGTGTGTGGGGTGCGTGAGAGAGAAAGGGGGGAAATGTGTGTGAGGTGTGTGTGAGAGAAAGGGAGAAATATGTTTTAAATGCTCAAGTTGTTTTTAGGGCTCTTGGGGTTGACTTTTCAAAGTGCACCTAGTCTAAATGTGTGTGTGTGTGTGTTTTGCCAATTTGATCATGTGAGGCACATTTTATTGTTTGACTTTCTCTTTTTGTGTACAAAAGAATATAATAAGTGGGAATATTCATGGCCACCTCATTTTGGCTTAATTGTACTTTAAAAAGATGGTCAATGGCTTTCATATGATGTGATAAGTTTGAATATAATTATTTTGGGTTTTTCTTTAGTTTGTATTTGGCAAAGATAAGATTATAAATGTCGGTCGTGGCGGTTTACTTCTCAATCTTACATTTTGTGGTGTATAAAATATACCATAACAACATTGAACTTATTTAATCTTCATAGAGATTCTACGGTCTGTTACAGATTTATTCTGTTGAGATTTGTAACGGTTAAATCAACTATTCACTACGAATACATGACAATTTAGCGGTTACAAATTCTGATGGAATAGTACCGTAACGAGACCGTAACATTTCTCATCTTTATATTAGACAAAATAGATTATTGTGCACTTTACTCGTTCAATATTTCATTTTACCTATCATATTTAATACTTAAAACGAATTTCATTTTTCCCTATACCATTTTATGATGGAAGATTCATATGGTCTTTCTCATAAGATGATTTAAATCAGACGAATGTGGTAAAGTATCAGTCTTTATTAAAATATGATAAAAAAAATTTCGTACATTTTTCTAACATAATTAAATGTATTTTTGATCAATTCAATATTTATATAATTTTACAATTAGTTGAACAAATAGTTATTAATAATTAATTGTATTTTGATCAATTCAAGATTTATATAATCTATTTCAATTAATTGAACAAATAGTGATTAATAATTAATTGTATTTTGATCAATTCAAGATTTATATAATCTATTTCAATTAGTCGGAAAAATAGTGATTAGCCCGACCTTAATAGTACTATTTACTTTGCGGCTGTACAATTTTTATTGTTGGACCAACCGGCCAGGTCACGTTGACCAATTAAGCCACGCTGGCATAACTGGCTCGGCTCTGAAGATGAGCTGGCAACACCCAAATTCTTGCGTATGTGACTCTCACAAATATGGGTAGACTTTTCTATTTAAAATATACTTAGTACAACACTCGTATATTACACGGGTGTTTGTTAAAAAATTATTTTTAAATTTTAAAATTAATGAAAAAATTATATTAAATTTAGTTTACTTTTTTACAAACAAAAAATATATTACTATATATTTTTGAATGATATGAGTTACTTATGACTTACATGTGTTATATTATATTAGTTTTTTATAACTTATGTCATATAACTACTTGAAATATAAATATATTAGTTGATAACTAATCATATTTTTCTAATTAATATTAAAAATAATTTTATTATTGTTATAAAGGTAAATATAAATTATTTTTTTTATACATACAATATGGATGTTAAATCGAAACTCATCAAAAAAAGATTAATTTGATATATTACATATGTAAAACTGATAAAAAATACAAAAGTTATTAACTTTTAAAATATATATACAATTCAATAGTTATAATAAGGAATGATATTAAAATACAATTAATACATGTAACATGACCATACATAATCAACATATTTATGATAGTCTGAACCTAATTATTTTTTGTTTGTAATTAAATTAAAATTTACCCAAGCCTAATAACGAAGCATGTAATTTTGCCACATAGGATTCTGAATCATCAGAAGCAGCCACGTAGGCTCAACGAAGCATGTAATATTGCATTTTCATACAATATGGATGTTACATTGAAGTTCATAAAAAAAAAGATTAATTTGATATATTACATATGTAAAACTGATAAAAAATACAAAAGTTATTAACTTTTAAAATATATATACAATTCAATAGTTATAATAAGGAATGATATTAAAATGCAATTAATACATGTAACATGACAATACATAATCAACATATTTATGGTAGTCCGAACCTAATTATTTTTGGTTTGTAATTAAATTAAAATTTACCTAAGCCTAATAACGAAACATGTAATTTTGCCACATAGGATTCTGAATCATCAGAAACAGCCACGTAGGCTCAACGAATCATGTAATTTTGTCAAATAAGATTCTGAATCACCAGAAACAGCCACGAAGGCTAAGTGCGTTCTAGATTAATATATAGTGGATATATAATATATTCTTTTAGCTAATTAAATTCAACTCTTACTGAGGCCACGAGCAATGTGAAGGGCTAAATTAATGGAAAATAAATTGTAAACAAAAAATTAGAAGTCAACCGATTAAAATTCAATGTTATGAAAGATCGAATTATATGTACTTCCATCTTATTATCATATAGTATTATTTTTACTTTGTTGGTAATTTAATTTAAACTTTTAATATTAACAATAAAGGATGCAAAATTTGAGATTTAATATGCAATTTATATTAAAAATCTATTAATATATAATAAGGATTAACATAATTCACTTTTAAACACATTTTCCCGCCAATTTCATTAATTATGCCTAAAAATAGTAAATTAATAAAAATCAATATAATTAATATACATAATCTTTTTAGTCAAATATTTACTGTTATTACCTTTATTAGTTGAATTTAAAGTTAGAATAATTTAGTTTTATGGAAACAAATATTGAGGTATTATAGAAACTTTCAAAATCCATAGTTTAAATATATAGACTTGATTGAGCAATTATAGAGAATCAGTCGCTAATCTTTATATCTATATTATATTTCTTGTATTGAGTAAAACATAATAAATTAATACTTATGTTATTTTTCATCTTTTTGTTGACATAGTAGAGTTGCAAGATTATATTTTTCTTCGTAGACAAGATAACCAAATACAAAAATATAAATAACATTTATGTGCCGCTAAAAAATATTTTGGACAAAATGTAGAAATGACTTTTAGAAATTACTTAATCAATTTATGGTATAAAGTTGATAAAATTAATACATTCAATTTTGGTATAAAGTTGATGATTTTATTTTAAGTATCTGATAGCCATTTTTATCTTTTCGTAGAAAATGTGTTGTTAATAATAAATATTCGATTTTGTGGTATAAAGTGGGTGATTTAATTTTGGTACGAAATGTTCGAATTTAAATAGTATAATTTTATTTGGAATGGACAGAAGTATATTTGAAATTATTTAAAACAAAATAAGAGCATTTACAATGCATAAATATTGTTATCACATAAGTTTTGACAAATGTCAATTGTTTATATGGATTGTGAACCACATAAGATATTTCTTAAGTTCACAACTTTAAATCTAAAAAATTATCTGCGTGCACAATGTGATCAAACATAATATTGTCAATTGACAAAAAAAAAATATAAATAAGAAACAAAAAAATTAATAATTAGATATTTTGAAAATGTAATAATATTTCTCTCTCATCTCTCAATTGGTTGATTAGAATGTAAAATAAAATGTGGATGAACCACATTCTTATAAAATCAAGGTGATGTGATTCTTAAAATTTAGCATATTCGCATAATAATTTGCCATAATATATTGATGATAATTCGATAAATTGATATATTCCTCTAGAAAATTATAATGATCTTTGAACAAACATTGGTTAATAAAATTTAAAATTAGTAATTTAATTCTATAAATTAATTGATAATTTTGAACGATAAGGTAACTGACAACAAATCTAAAAAAAATGCGAGATATATATAATACATATATATATTATACATGAAATATATAAAAAAAGTTTATTTGTGTAGTCCAAATTTAGGTTCTAAATTTAAAGATCAAATAAGTAGTTATTCGTAACTTATGCTAATATTAAGTTGGATGCAAATGAATTATTTAATTATTTATAGTTTAATAAATTATTCAACTACTTAATTTTTTTGATTTGGACATGTCATACGAAAATAAATTCATTTTACTTAAGGAAACAATATAAGTTTTATAATTATATGTATTATTCACATAGATTTTTAAATATATGATAAAATTTTACCAAAACTTTTATTTTATTGATCACATTGTAGTCAAATCAAAATTTTAAATAAAAATTTTAAAATAACATTATTTTGAAATGAATATAATATAATTTATTATTAGTTACGTGCATTGTATGGGCATTGTACTAATTTTAAATATACATATTTTATGTAATTTTGTGTAATTCAAATTTCGTATAACATTTTTTAAAATTAGTATATGTAAACTGTATTACATATTGATTCAATATTCTTAATTTATAAAATATTATTTTTTGCATATTTTTTATTTATAAATACTCATAAATATTTCTTACTCGTGTATCGCAAGGTATTTGTACTAGTAGATTACGAAAGAAGCAAAATTTGATGATCATATTGTCATAATATGCGTTATATTAATTATGTCAAAATCTATATATTATGAAAAACTTTTTCTTTTGCTTGCTTATATGATCTGAACTATATATTTATAATATGAAATTAAGTATTGACTGTATATTGCTGTGAAATTAAATTAATTATTAGAAATTATTGGGAAGCCAACTTAGAACTTGCCATTAATGGCGAAGTAAACGTCGGTGGCGATTATGACTCTAAAAATGCTAGATAAATCGTTGACCCTGCCTTTTTTTTGTGGCTTCAAATATTATTATTTATTAGTTTCCTTTTGGTTTTGTTCATTTATTTTTCTTTCA